AGATGAGGCACAGGTTAGGCCTTGTCTCTCCCGCAGCAGATTTTCCCATGTGATCAATGCATCACTGTATGTCCGTGTCTGAGAGCTAAGGTCAATTTGAATTTGCCTCCCTTGCAAAAAAATGATCCTTTCTCAAGGGGGAATGGGGTCAAGACCGAGTATTAGAGAAGCTACAATTCTCCCCACCCTCTCCCTGCCCTGCATGCACCCATCCTCCCTAAGGAATGGTGGGTGTGGAGGGACGTCCTGGTGTGAGGGGGTTAGCTGCATCCGACACCCAAGTCCTTCAGCAAATGAAACTTCTGGGGCCAAACCCAAGCCACATCTGGAGAGGGGGAGGTGGGAAGACAATGACAGAGGTTCATAAATGAGGACTCTAGGGGTTTCTGGCTCTGGGTTATAAGGATTTCTACCAAATGGTTGAAGGAGGCGATAGAACACCTGTCTGTGGGGAGGCAGAAAGTTACTAAAGAAGCAAAAACTCTCCGTGGGGCACTGCTTCTCTTGGGGACCTGGCCAAAAGCTGCTAGAATTCTTAAGGTGGACACCGGGCACACTGAAGCTATAGACAGAATTTATTAGAATTTGCAGAAGCATGAGATAATGTACCACAAAACAGTTCGATTTTACAACATAAAGTACAGTAAGACGTTGTCGATGCAGTGTCAGCAAAAACAGGATAGTTTCACATTTTAAAAAAATGATGGACAACATCTATGCTTGTTCTTAAAGTGAAAACAGGAAGGACCAGCAGAGACCAACCTGACTTACAGTTAGCATTAAAATTTAACTCTAGTATCATAATTTTAGGAAAACTATTAGAAAAATAGAGCATCAAACAAAAAATATTTTACAATTTACATAATAAAAAACAAAACTCATTTAATAATGGCTCCATGTTCAATAGAAGAAAACATGTACTGGAGAAACCATAGCTCTTCAGGTCTGATAATAAGCCAGCCCTCATGGGGATCATCACCCTTGGTGCTCCTTGCACCCAGTGATGCTGAAAGGCACAACTTAAACAGGAAACTTATTTTAAATATATATTATAGCTTCTCAAGTGGGAGAATAAGTTCTCAGTCTGTCATCTGGAAACACAAGATCATACCTCGTTACTACATTAGCAAAGCCTGAGTGCATCTTCCTAGCCCTGCTTCCTGAGCCTGCGGACACTCACACCCTGAGAAAACCGCCCGGGCTTCACGGCCAAGGTCGTCCATCTCAAGCTCAACATCTGGAGCACGATCCAGGGTGGCTCCTCGGTAACTGCGCCTGAGACCCTTGGTCAGTCCATGTGCACTTGAAAGAGAGCGCTACTACAGCAAAGCAATGGGCACAGAGACTCTGGATTATAGTGAAGAAGAAGAAAGTCAGCTGACATTTTTTAGACTAATTTTCAGGCATCATAAAGATGATGATGAAATACAGAGTGTAGCTTCTTACACCACTGGATGGTAATAAAGCATTTCATTACCAGAAAGTCCAGGGGAGTCTGACAAAATCTCCATCTCCTCTCCCAAAGGAATCTTAAGTACATTACTCTCCTGATGATGGCAAACAGATATAGTTTAGACTGTACATAACACATTTAGTTCCACTGAAAGGGAATTAACCAGTCCCGACATACACATCACACACTCACCATCCATCCTGGAACACACTGGTCATGGGGCCTGTCTTCATGGCGATGGCTTGTATTAGTGGGGCATTTAAATCGGAATGTGTAACAGTGGGGTATTCAAATCGGAAAGGGCAGGTTCTGGTACAAAGCTAAGCAGAGGTCCCCAAAATGCCAGTGAGCTTACCTACTGGGCAGGGCCTCCATGAGGTGTGTCCACACTCACCCAAGGAACCCAGCCTCCCACCCTGACTCAAAGATCTGTCTCCAATGTTAGGCTGGAAGCCATCCTATTGGGATAGCAAAACCTAGTCAATTCAGACTGCCTTAGTGGTGGGGGTGGACAGGATACCTGGCAAAATCCACCTTCCCATCCCCACGCACGCAGAACCAATGCAGTGGTCAAGGACCAGTGCCTCATTCAAGTGTGAACGCAGGCTATGCCTCAGGCACAGAGGGCAGTGTGTCAGGGCCTTGGGAGCTGGGGCGGGAATACAGCAGGAGACAGACCTGTGATGTCCAAAACACACATCAGCACATGAGACCAGTTGGCTGACTGCCTGCTAACTCAATAGGCTAAAACCAAAGTTGGGCAAGATATGAGATGTTCTGGCAACAGTCCTTCCAAAACAGCCTGGAAAAATGGCTCTATCACTACTCCTTGGTTTGGAAAAACAAATCTAGCTCAGAGTTGGGATGAAGGAGTGTGAGCTGTTGTGCAGGGTGAGGCATGTGCAGAGGCCAAGGGTCTCCCTCCTGGAAGGTCCCAGGAGCCTGGCTGTTTCCTTGGAAACCCCTCCACCCTCCCTCTTCTGCAGAGGCCCTGGGGCTCCAATTGTGAATGGTCAGGCCATGGAAATTTGCTGATGGGAAAGCAGAGGCAGGAAGTGGCACTTACTCATCATAAAGGGCCTTTCCCTCCTTAGCATCAGGGCAGGGGCACAGATGAGTACACACAACATCCCCAAAGGGTGTCTCTAGATGTGTGAAATATCTATGTAGAAAAATACTGGCCGAGCTGCAAAACTGACAATCCTGTTCTTGTCTGGTGGGAGGGGTACTTTTGGTGGATTTTCTTTTTGCGTGTGTGTGTGTGTGTGTGTGTGTGTGTGTATTTCAGGGGCAGGATGAGAGATGTGATAAATCTATTCACACTGAGAGGTTAGCCCCAATACCATCCCTTCGTCATGGCCCTGACACAGAAGGGAGTGCAGGGACCACGTGCACTGTGTCTGAGTCACCCTAGGAGGCCCTGCCCTACGCTGGGGCTCTGCCTGACGGGAGGGTGCAGGGATTCTCCCACCCTGCCCCTGCGCCTTCTGGGAGCAGGCCTGGCTCTGGGCTGCGGAAGGAGGGGATGTGCTCTTGGGAGATTCTTATCTGGGAGGCAGAACAAGAAACTCACCTTTTCAGTTGGCAGAACAATGGGTGTTGCTAGTGAAAAAGTCAACTGTAATCACAGTCTGTTGGGCACTGTCTTTCATGGAAATTTCAGTCAAAAAGAGAAGGGGGAAAAAAACAATTCTCTCTTAGGCACACCTTCCCTCCAGTTCTTCACATGGAAAAATATCAGCCACATGGAGCAAATAGCTAACAGGCCCCAAGAGAACAGCAGACAACCAAACCCAAACAAAATAAGTTAATATTTATCAAAGTAGTTTACAGCACCAATCTACATGAATTTAAATACCTTTCCTTGGAAATCTAAGCTTTGAACTCTGGGGATCATCCATTGGGATCTGGCCACTGGCCCGACCGCCTGGCCATCCTCCAGTGGCCAGCCTAGCCATCTGGCTGCTTCACAAACTCTTAAACTTTTGTCCAAGAATCTTCTGGGGCAGGACAAAAGACAAGTGCTACCAACTTACCAACTTTTTTCTGTCAGATTTGTGCCAGCGGCCAGAGGGGAAGAAATGGGAAAATAAGCCTTAAAAGCAGCATTTACATGTTCTGAGTTGTGTGAAATGTCTGTCTCCCTCTACCTCAGTCAACAAGGGACTCCTGTCTCCTGGACTACACTCTGACGAGGATGAAGGGACTGGTGTTTGTTTTCTCCAGCTTCTGCCTGTGTCGCAGAGAGCAGCTCATTGTGGAGACTTACGGAGCAGGCAGTTGGGCCGGGTTCCAAACCTCTACACAAGCCCAGGGCATTTGGACGACAAGTACACAAGAGAGACAGCAATATGCCCCAATTGTCTACTGCGGGCCCCACTCGCTCAACAATACACTAATGGCACAGGCTAATCATTTGGCCATTTTCCAAGTTAATGTTAAGCACCAACTTATTTGGTGGAGAGATTCACAGCAACTACTGGAGGCCTCAATCTGATTGACTTGAGAGAAGGGCCAACGAGATCGTGGCAGGAGCCACAAGTGTGGGGAGGAACAGTCTCGCCTCAGAACGAGTGGAAACCTGTCCTGGGGACCTTACAGGACCCCAGACACCAGCCTGCAAGCATCAGAGGACTGGGTTCAGTGAACAGCAGAGACCCACGGAAAAGGGTGTTTTGAGCACTGCTAATTTGAGGCCAATCCTCCATAAACTGTCACGTTCCAGTTGCTCAGGACACAGAGCAGCAGTGAGACGCAAGAGCAGCAAGAACAGGCTGGGCCCAGAGGCTGAAGGAGGTCCCCCATGCATATGCGTCCTGGAGTGCAGCCGGCCCCTGAGCCCTGCCTCCTTCCCACAGTGGCACTCCTTTCTGCTTGTCTTCCCAGAATTAAATGCCCCGAGTCCAGAGCAGAGTGGGCTCAGCTCTGTCAAGGTGACAGAGTGGAGAAGGGATCACAGTCCTAAGACCCCTTCTGGAAGCAACTCAGAGGGCAGGGGCAGGAAAGAAAACCAGTTTTTTGGGTTTTTTTTGGAGTAAGCTGTCCTTTGGCTCAGGGTTGGACCTGTGGAGGCATACTATTTATGGTGCTCATCATTTACGGGCGGCTGTTCCAGGCTGAGCGGGGAAATGGCTACTATGAGTCTGGAGTAACAGCATTTTCAATACCAGAAGGGTGCCTGAGGACAGAGACCTGGATGTCCACTAATGAGAAGATCTCCATCCTGCCTTGGGCCACAGCAGCACGCAGGAGAATCTGCTTTCTTCGTTCAGAGGGAAATAAGGAGACGCAGTGGCCAGCCACAGCCAAGCGGCCCTGGAAGGGAGCTGTCAGAAGTAACCGGCCTGGTGAGCCTGCCCTAGAGCAAGACAGGGCAGGCCCATCGAGATGTGGGCTGAGGACTCAGTGCACCATGCACCTTCTGCTGCTCGGGGGCCTTGTGGTTGTGAGTGGGTCCTGTTGCATTGGCGGAGACAGCGAGGTGCTTCTGGGGGCTCTGTGGGCATCCTTCAAGGCTGCTGTCACCTCCGGTGGATGAGGCTGTGCGTCATTTGCAGTGGTCCAAACTGCCATCAGCAGTCTTTGCTTGTTTAGTGACCAGGGATGCCTCCTCGCTGTGCCACAGTCCATAGCCAAAGTAGATGGCAAAGCCTGCAGGCCAAGAGCAGAAAGCAGTGAACAGAACAGATGAAGTCCGAGGAAGCAGACAGTGCAGCCTGGGGCCTAGCAAAGCCTCGCCATGCTGCCTGCTCTGAGCTGAGCCCTCACTCTCTACACTTTAAAACTTAAAGAAACAACATGACTCTTCAAACAGGTACAGCAAAGGTGGCCCTCTGGAGAGAGCCTCATACCAAGGAAGCTCCTGAGCAGGGGGAACTGCTGTTGGGGGCCCCTGGGAGGGACATTAATCCCTCAGTTTCATCCACTGACCACCTGGTTGGGGGCTTGTGGCCACCAGAAGGGGATAAGACAGACACTGTGGCAGCTGTGCTTCTGCCTGCCAGGGTGTATCTCTGTGCTATCTGCACAGTCCCAGCTGCTCGTTTTCTCTGTGTAAGTGGTTCCCATTGCAGGAGGCATTCGGGCCACCTGAGAATGTGTGTACCATACGAACCAGTCCGATCCAGAGATCTGTGATTCTAACTACTACCCAGAGACTGTGACCCAGGTGCCTTGGGGCCAACCTTTTGCTGGTGACATAAGGAGAGTGGTCCTTAAAGGAGGGACTCAACTCAGCTCCCAAAAGTACAGGAAGTAGGTAATGCCCAGAAGCCAGGCACTTACATAGGGATGCTCAGAAGCAGTCCCTGCAACTGTGGCAGAAGTAAGCGCCTGGCTCTGCAGTCTCCAGGAATGGGCACAGTGGGCTGAGCGCAGACTGAGCCAGCACTCACAGAATGACTCTATAGGAGATGCCTGTCCAACTAAACACAGGCTAGACTCTGAGGGGAGTGAGGGGTCTGCAGAGAATGGGGTAGCAAAGAACCACCCTGGAGATGGCACAGCAACAGCCGTCTACCCCAAGGTGTGGCCCCGGAACTGAGAGGTTTAGCAGAACCTGGTCCTGAGATTTCTGCGTTTGGCAGGGACACGGAGGGATATAGGTCAAGGCCAGTTGCTCTTCATCAGCACTCAGACTGGACACTGAGGAAGAAACCTGATCCATCTCCTGCTATCCCCAGAGGCAGAGGCCCAGAGGCCAGGCCACCGTCAGTCCCAGGCAGGACCAAAACCCACAAGATGACACCCAAGCCCCTGCAGGCCCTGCCAGCGCCCACAGCCCATGAAAAGAGGTGAGGTCCTGACTTTCGCACTGGGGGCGAAAAGCACTGGTGCTTTATTGACAGCAGGCTCATGCTCATAGCCTTGCTCTTGTTAACCTCAAGGTCTTGCCCAATAACAAACTACTTCAGGCAAGAGGCCATTAAAATGAAAAGTATCTGAAAGGAGGGAAGGATCCATGACCTACCGGGAGCTCCTTGTTATCTGAGAGAAAATTGTTGACTATCTGTGTTTCTACTGTTTTGAAATCTGAACTGAGGAGGTTCAAAGACATTAGCCATCTGCCAAGTAAGTAGCAGGACATGAGTGGGCAGTAGGGGTGGGAAGTCTCAGGAGACACTGGAATATGGAACATACCTATCAGCATCCACACCGCAAACCGGACCCAGGTGCCTTGGTCCAGCTGCATCATAAGATAGACATTCACGAAGATGCTCAGGACGGGAAGGACTGGCAGGAAGGGCACCTGCGGAGACACAAGATGGCAGCGTCAGCTCTGCAGCAGAGATGGAGTTAGCACCTGTTTGCATCATTTAACAAAACTACCTAGAAAACATCCTGCACCTGACACTTATATGGACCTCTGAGATCTATATGGGCTACCATCTTTATATTGGGAAGATGAAGTGAGTGCCAATCCTACCCCTGCACCCCCAACTCCTCCAACATAAATACACCCTCATGCAGGCAAACTCCAACAGGCAGGAGCTTGGGTCTAAGCAACTAATTGCCAAAGAAAGCTCTATTCTTATTTTCTACTCCTGCTATGTTCCCATTAAAGCAGGGGCTAGAAGAAAGATTCCACTTTACCTCTAAGGTTGAACTATCCTACTATTTGTAATAATTGAAAGTGAACCTCCAAGGCTTGGTGATGATATACAGCCCACCTGGAAGGCATTTGTGAGAAGGTGGAGCTACACCATTGAGAGCGAGGGTCAGGTCCCCACCAGGCCCAGTCTGTACCCATGGGCCCATGTTCCTGAGGTTGGCCAGGAAGCACCTCCCGCCAAACACCTAGGAGAGCCCATGCAGGCTCTGTCCCATCAGGCAGCTCCTGCAGAACCTCACAGCAGAGCAGCTCACCTTAAATGAGAGCTTGGTCTTGCTCTCAGGCTGTCTCCAGATGATGGCTGTGATGACTGAGCAGAGGATGGCAGAGACAATAAGCATAAAGATGGCCCACCACTCCACGTTTATCAGAGCCTCCTTTCCAAGCACAGTCACGATGCAGAAGATGACGATAAGAATTGCTGAAGACAGAGAGAAAGAGAGTAAGACAGATGCATCTTAACCACTTCTCAAGTTCCCATGATATCCTCAGCTCTCCCCAAAACCTATGGAGAGGAAGGCTCTATTTCTGCAGGCATCACCTGCAATGAGGACAGAATAACTGATAGCACAGTGCATCCAGCAGCAGGATTTCTAACACCCACCCCCATACCCGGCAACAAGAAACCATGCAGTGCCAACAAGCAGGAACCCAGACACATTCCAAGGAAGGGCAGGCTCTTACCTATGAGGCTGGTTGAAATGTTCACAATTAGCCCAGAGAATTTGGAGGGCTCCATGTTTTGGGGTGAAAGTATAGTCTTCAAAGAAAACTTTTCTGCTCCTGGTAAAAAGCCTGTTTGGGAATCGCTGGTGCTCACCAATTCATTCTGGTCTACTTGATCCAGGTCATCAGTAGTTCTGGCCATCTGGTATACCATGTTAGGTTGCTCTGGCTGATACCTGCAGACAAATGTGACCAACATGATATGTTTTCATTAAGCAAAAGAACAAGCAATAATTCAAGTTCTTAGTAAGCCTTCAAAGGTAAGTTTCCCAGGACACAAGGCATCAAATGGGAAGAAGATGGTCAGAATGTCTTCTCTGGCAAAGTGGAAACAGGAGAACTGGGTCTCGCCTTCTGGCAATGGCCTTCTTTGGTGTCTCTGCTTTGAGACAACTTGACCTCCACCATAAACTAGCCCTGAGAAATGTCTTGAGATGGTTTCTCTGGCTCTGAGAGTAGCACTAGCCCTTGGAAACTTGAAGATATTAGGCCACTTCCAACAAAAGCAGGCTGCAAAGAACTAAAAGCACAGACAGAAATAGAAAGCAATAACATCAGGATCCTATTTGGTGCAGAAATCGGGAGAAATGTGTCTGCAGGCTGATGGCTTTGAGTTATTGTTTGTGAGACTTAATTGGATCAACTTATTTAAAACTCCAATGCCTTGGCATAAATAAATCTATAGAGTTCAGTGGCATGATTTTCAAGATACAAGCTACCCCAGTCATTTTAAATGAGGCTCCTTATCCTCCTACCCAAAATGAACAAAGCTCAAATCTTTTCCACCAGTCTTGAAAAATAGAATGCCTTATGAATTACTTTGCATACAGTCTAAGAGTAAGCATAAAGATATTCACTATATTTTCACTGATTCACCTAATGTAACACTGTGAGTCAATTAAAAAGGTGGTACGGTCCTAACTGGTTTGGCTCAGTAGATAGAGCATTGGCCCGAGGATTCAAGGACCCCAGGTTCAGTTCCGGTAAAGGACATGTACCTTGATTGTGGGCACATACCTAGGAGGGGGTATGCAGGAGGCAGCTGATCGATGTTTCTAACTCTCTATCCCTCTCCTTTCCTCTCTGTAAAATATCAATAAAATATATTTTTAAAAAAGAAGAAGAGAAGGTGGTAGGACCTTGGCGAAGATTCCAGCATTGAGCCCTTAGGAAGCAATAAATGGACGTAAACTAGTTTTAACTGATCCTATACAATCGCTATCAAGACTCAACCCAGGTTTCACATACATTAGATGCTGAGCACATGTGAAATGGGATTAGTGGCCTGTAAGTGTAAATACCTAGAAGGAAATTTGGAGGCTCAGGTGGCTAACACTGAGTCTCCATGAGTACATGTTCTCATGATGAATGCTACCTTGGGCAATTTCTGAGACTTGGGAAGCAGAGTCCTGTCCTTCCAAAACAAAGAAAAATTGGCACCAGGAGGTATGTTTTGAGGGGGTGTCCTGGAGTAGCCGATACAATAAGCCTAAGCCCAGACTGCTTTAATCACCAAAACCTGGAAAGTCTTCCTGGACATCAACCTCAGCCATCCCACACTGTATAATGGGACTCCTTTCTCCAGCAGCGTGCAATGAAGCATCGCAGTAGCCTGAGTTTTGAAGGTCATCACCAGGACCTAAGTTTCATTGGATTCTCCCAACTCCCATCAGGGCCAGAGCCCTGTCGACTCTGTCCCAAGAAACTGGATCACATTGAAATCATCACCAAAACCTTCAAAAAAGCTGATCCCAAGATCTAGGCCCAGCAGCTTGGCTATAACCTGTCTCTATTCTCCCCAAAATCCAGCCAGAAAAATGAGGGCACATTATAGAAGTAGGTGGGGTCACCCCTGAATCTTTCCATGGATATTCTCCTTAAGAAGGTTCTCACCCACCATATCCCACCCTCTCCTGGGAAGTTTCCAAAGGAGTTATCAACAACCTAAAATTTGCTCTGTATAAACCAATAATTTGAACTGCTAAGAGGCTAAGAGGGTTCATGTGCATTTCTGTCATGGAACCCAGAAAGGCCATACATACCGTAAGACCAACACACAGGCAGCCACTAAAGAGTAAGCCAGGAGAGTGCCGATGGACATGAGATCCACCAAGTCCTTCAGGTCAAAGAGGAAGGCCATCACAGCTGGGGAGGAGACAAATATCAGGATCCATGGATGGCCCTCTATACATACTGACATCCAGACCCACCACCCATCTGTAATCCACAGTATACAGAGGTGCTTCTTTTTCTTGCCCCCCAACCCCAGGCCCTTCCATGAAAAGATGCTTAAAGGAAGAAAAGCTCAGGATTAAGTCATGTACACAGTCCTCAAGATGGTAACTTTGCAAGCTACCCCTACACTATAGATGGAGAAACTGAAATTCAGACAAGATTGGGAGAGTTACCTAAGGTCACAAAGCTAGATGCAAAAGTCAGAATTTGAACTAGGTTATTATGACTCCAAGTCCAATGTTTCTTCTTCTATATTATGCTGACAAATTATAGACAAATCATTTACATCTATCCACCTACCCATTCATCATCCATCCATCCATCCATCCATCCATCCGCCACAAGCACCTGCATTCCCACTCAGAGAAATCGAGATAAGCTTCTTCAATGTGAGGTGATTTTAGAAAACCTAATACTTATTTACACTCCCACACACACCAAGTTTAGTGAATGTACTTTGTAGTCACTTTAATGATAGTTTCATCTCCTTTAATCAGCACAAGAAGGAAATTAAAGCCATTCTTTTATATAATCAAATTACATGTAAATACTGAAAAAAAACTTTTATGGTTTCCAGTGCCTTAATCCCTTAAATATAGTGGTTATATTCTGGCATGTGGTGCCCCATAACCTGACCACAGCGATCACTCTAAAAAATGTATTATAGTCCTGGCCCTGGTGTGTCTCAATGGTTGGAGCATCATAGTGAAGGGTCAAGAGCACATACCTGGGTTGCAAGTTTAATCCCCAGCCTCGATTGGGGTATGTATGGGAGCCAACAATAGATGTGTCTCTCTCACATCGATGTCTGTGTCTCTTTCTCTATCTCTCTCTCCTTTCTCCCCTAACCTCCTCCTCCTCCTCTCCCTTCCTCTCTCTCTAAAAATCAATGGAAAAAAATATCCTTGGGTAAGGATTAACAAAAAACAAAACAAATAAAAAAGGAATGTAATTTACTAATTACAGGGCAAACTTAGTAAATAATAAGAAGCTAGCTTTCTTCCATTATGTAGTGATAATCCACAAAATGAAGCACACTTTGCTAAGGGCATAAATCCTACTAATTACAACTCATTCATTTAAGATGATAAAATATCCTACCAATGGCCATTTGACAAGTTCCTATGGCACAAACTGGCCGGTGTCACGTGTCCTAATTTGCCAAATGTCTAGATGCTCTTCTCACACACTGAAAGGAGCCAGCCTCTTTGGCATAAAAACAAACCAGGAATCAAGAGCCAGATCTACACTATAGGTATGCATTTTGCCTTCACCTCTCTGTGCCTCCACTTCCACCTCTGTACATTGGAATCACACTGCCTTTCCTTCTACAAAAAGGAGTCATTAAAGGAGGAAAGGATACAATAAATAGCATGCAGTGCAAATAAATTTCAGCCCCGCCCCCCACACACACACACCTCCCTCCCGCCATTCCTTAATCTGGGGCCTCTGGATCATCACATAGGCTCAAGTGCCAGGCAACCCAGCTAATGTACCCTGACCAAGAATTGAACCCAACACTCCTTGGTGCATGGGACATAGCACGAACCAACTGAGCCACACTGGCCAGGGCAAAGTGGTACATTTTTACACCAATCATAAGGGATCCTCATTTCCCAGGGAATCCACAGGCTAAGATACAAGGACACTAAATTTCTAGTAATAACACAAACTCTCACTTGGTTTATAAATGCAAGATGTCATCTTACCAAAATTTACTCAGGGACATTCAGAAAAGGAGAAGACTAATGGCTTTGAGGGACCATGTGTATCCTAAGCTTGGGCCAATGAGAGGATAATAATAACAGAAGAATTCAAACTTATTGGGAATTCCATCACATCCTCTGGAGCACTGGCCTCTGCCTTTTATTGGAAGGGCAGTTACTTTACAATAAACCAGGTCTAAGGCTAGAAAAAAAGTTAAAATTCCTCACAGACAGCAGTAAAATTCAGGATGTTTCACTAGGGAATAATAATGACTCAACTGTTAAAATATCAGTGTGTGAAATTAGTCCCAGTTCTTACCAGCAATGGCACCTGAGGTTACTGTGGCGATTATTGGTGTTTTGGTCCTATCGTTAATTTTGGCCAAAAATTTAAATAGCAGTCCATCTTCAGCCATGGCATAGATAACTCGAGGCATGGGAAACATAGAACCCAAAAGGCTAGATGGAAGAAAAGGCATCAGTTTAGAAGAGTTTCCCAGGAACTAAGGCACCAGGATGTGACCAGCCCAGTTGACCTCCTGGATTCTCACCATGACTGCCACCACCAGGCCATATAACTCAAAATTCCATTCACCAACCCCAGAAAAAGCACTACTCTGAGTATGCATAAGTCTAAGAATAGGAAAAGCCTAACAAACCAGCACAAACTAGTCATTGTTTTTCTGGAAATAAAATTTTACATTTATTCCTACAATTATTTCCAGCTGATTCAAACAGAAAATAAAAGCAGCCCAGCATTCACGAGTATGTCTCTATGGTAAATCAACATTTACAAGTAGTACTAGTAAATGTTCATATGGGCTAATAGGAAATACAAGGAGCCAAATGTCTCTCATTAAAAGGCACTTACTTCCTTTTTCAAGCTTACCTACATGTTATGGCCAAACAGGCCAAAACACAGTGTTTAAAGAGCTGGCCGGGTCCAGTGCCAAAGTCAGGGACAGAAAGACAGATGATGAGCAGATGATGTTAAAAAGTTTTTCAAGAAGATCAGTCTTGGGTGCTTAATAGCAACAAGGAGAAGCCAGAGAATCAGGGTTGGGGCACTGGCTCCATTTCCAGGGAAAAGAGTACCTTTAACAGCAGACCTGCATGTCCAGCTTTACCTGGCCCACCACCCCGGACATCAACCCCAGAAGGTGAGAACCCTCACCTCGTAGACAAAGCACACAGGGAGCCAATGGCCACCGCATACTTGGCGCCATCCCAGCCCACGTGCTTGAAGGCCTCAGGCAGGGGGCTGTCCTTGTCCAGGCAGAAGTATGGCATCATGAGCGTGAGGGCAGCTGACACCCCAAAATAGGCGACGAAGCAAATCAGGAGGGAGGCGACGATGCCCACGGGGATGGCCTTCTGGGGGTTCTTGACTTCTTCACCTAGAAGCAGCCAGGAGGGACAACCACAAACCATGAGGCCCCAGGCCTTTCAGTGTCCAGGGAGTTGGTGCTACCACAAATGCTTCCCTGGGCTCTGGAAACACCGGGTGGCCCTCTGCAACACAGACCAGATGACCCCTAGGTCCTAGATGGTGCTCTTGGCCTTTACATCATGGTTCTGCCAAGGAAAAGACTTGTTTCCTTTGGCAGACAGATTTGGGAAGTACAATGGAGCCTAACCTATTCAACAATATTAAAAATATTGAATGATAATATTTTTAATGGCTTTGTATCTCCCGGATGATGCACAGATAGGAAGTCAGGTTGTAGCTATGTCTGTCATTATCTCATTCTAGTAGAAGGGTTAGTCACATTCAGGATGTAGTTTCCTGCCAGGAACTGCGACTTGCGGAAGTGATAAGGGCAGGAAAGATCAGCGGAAAACTATTGATACAATCTACACATTACTCAGGTGTGGAAGCTTGACAACTGGCACAAGCCCACAGGAAGGAAAATAGTGACCGGTGGGTAAATTAGGCTGGCCTGTCTAGAAAGCTGGCGGGCGGGGCATGGCTCCCGACAGCGAACGGGCATACCTGTGGTGGCAATGCAGTCAAAGCCCACGAAGGCATAGAAGCAGGTCGCTGCTCCTGACAGGACTCCGGAGAACCCGAAGGGCATGAACCCACCAACACCGGGATCCCCTGCTTTCGTTTCACTAGAAAAAAAAAGAGCCACAGCAAAGATCACAACACTAGCTTCATGGTCCCAAAGAGAAGTCATTGCAAACAGCCATCACCTGACTTATGACCACTGCTCCAGACCCTCAGGCCATGACCCCTGGCAGCTGTCGCCAGCCACTGTGTCTGACAGTGGACAAAAGGCCTTCATTTGGTGTGGCCTGGACCATAATGGTGCACACAATGCCCTTTCCAGAAGCCTCTTCTAAATATAGACATGGGGAGGCGATGGAATATAGGGACTGTGACAGGAAAGAGAGAGAGACCAACAAATGCAGCCTCTCCCACAGAATCCTGGAGAAAGAAATGGAGCCAGGCAATGTAGGGGCCCCAGATGTAGGAACGAATGGCAGGTCTCCATATTTGCCAGTAACTCGGGTCTCAAAGCAAGCATTTCCAAAGACACTGAGGTTTGAAAGCTGCTTAATTTCAGTCAACAAAACCATGTTTCCTAAGCACCCACACACACAAAGTAAACAGTGGGATGCTTCAGGTGGAGGCTGGTGCCAGCACAGGTGAACTAACTCATGGGCTGGGATCGGCAGTTTACTGAAGCATATTTTGTGAACCCCAAAGTCCTTAAAGATCCAGAAAACAGTCCCAATCGGTCAAAACCTGTGACTCTAAAGTAAACACTACATCTAAGCTTGAACAGTGGCACTCGGCTCTTGCCAGGACTCGTGTGGGTGGCAGTCTCTGGCATCAGTCTATCATAAGCCCTGCCTCTCACCAACTACTCGTAAGCCTCAGCCACCTGAAGAGCAACCCGCTCCTTCTGTCTGAGAAATGCAGCTCCAGCCCTCCTCTGCGGCCACATTTTTCGCTTGGCTGAAGGTTTCCTGTCACTTAGCACTGAGCCCCCAGAACCAGGCTGGTCACGTCTCCCCAACTTCCTCCACCCAAACTGCTTCACCTCCCAACTTGAGAACAAGAATAGAAAAATATTCCAACACTATAAGCACTGATGCACTGAGGTTGAGTTAGCAACTCATTTTGGCAAATTGCTTTCAGTTGGGTTTATCAACGAGCTAATGAATAAACAGACAATTTGGACCCAATTATTTCCTAATGGGGATTAAGCCTTTTACTGATTCCTCTGGGATACTTACATGTTCCAGAAGCTGCCATGGAACCACTGGACGTGAAGCATGAAGACCCTAATTGTGGGACTTCCAGTGGTTCAGTAGCAACCTGGGGGAAACCCCAAGAAATGCACAAGTGATAGATGTGGGGGAAATTTTCACTAGGCTGAAACGGAAGCTTGTCATCGACTGAAATAAACCACCAACCCTAGTACAAAAAAGGCAGCCCAGGACATGTAAGTCAGCAAAGTGTGGTCCACAGTCCACACTGCAGCCACTCCCATGGGCTCTGTGAATCACAAAGAACGTGGACACCCTCGTGAGTGGAGTTCTACAACCACAGCCTAAAAAAGAGAGCCGCCTATCACCTGCCTCTAACCCTGACGGTCCTGAGCCAGAGACAGGTCAGGGGGATGGGGCCGTGGCTTTTCAGGGCTGATACAACCCAAGTCGAGTGTGGGAGAAAGAGATTATTAAAATCACTGTTTGATCTTGAGTATTTCTGAAAAAACTTAGATAAAAGTTCTACATATTTCTTTTTCTGGGTTATTAAACATTTTGAAATAAAGTGGTATCACCATGGTATTACAGAGAAAACCTTTTCTGATCACAAAACTGAGAAGAAGGTCATGAAACAGAATATGAGAAAAAAAATGGATTATTTAGTGAGTCTGACAATGATCCTCAACTATGTACATGATGGAATTAGAATGAAGACTCTGTTTTAACCATCAGTGTCCTTGTCATACCATGTTCTATCTAGTTGCGGGAAATAAAACTTATTTTAAACCAATAAAACATCCTCAGCTACAAAAAAATAAATAAAATGTTCATATTTAAATCACTTTACTGAAAAAAAGACTCGTATGGTTCTAGCCAAAACACCATCCCCCATAAACACCAACTGCCACAGGCCGAGGGACGGGCAGAGGGAGCAACTCACTTGTTGGAGCACAGGAGACCCGAGTTGTTGTGCAAATACTCCTCCGTGAACTGCCAGTTTTTAAGCGAGCCTTTCACAAAGCCTGACACGACGATGAAGCCCAGGACCAGGACATTGACACAAGTGAATACTTTGTTGACCATGGCTGACTCTTTCACACCAACAGTTAAAAGTCCTGAAAATGTGCATACACAGGAAACATGGAGCATTAACCTCATACCAGGCAAATCCTTCCTGGGATGGGGACGGGAAGAAGGGCGATGACTTAAGAAAACCCACTTGGCATCAAATTCTAAAGATTTCTGTGAGCTTCTGGGGATGGGCCCAAATTCATGATCTTTCCAGAGGCAGTGATCAAGACGTTTAGCAATGCTATAAGGACGCCATCCAGGGACACCAGACCGCAGAGATGAGGACATAAAGCACACCAGGCGATGAAGTAAGCGCCTCTCCCTGCACCTTCCCCCTCATTAAAGTATTTTACTGAGAACCTCTCTCAAGAGCAGGATTTTAGTTTCTCCAAGAAGGAGACACTTTATACTCACTTTCTTGGTAGAATGAGTTTTTCAGATCCAGAAATTATTCATATTGCCTTATAGATGTTAGCAATATCAGCAATGACAGTGTCTGATTGTGGAACTGCCACCCTGTAAGCACTAACCCAGACTAGCTTTAGTTCATAAACCCACATTAAAAAACACACCAGGTGATAAAAATGCCCAGGAATCACATGACATTGCAGGATGACTTTGGGGTAAAGTTGCCACCTGGTGAGTTCTGTGTAAACTGTCAGCAAGAAAAGAGGCATGAAAAGGTACCCAGTGAACACACCACACAATGTATGATTTGAGATTGTTGCTCTGCAGTATGTCTTTTATACATCCTATATTACAAAAGGCTAATAAGCAAATAGACGAACTGTGGAATGACTGGTTGCTATGATGTACACTGACCACCTGGGGGTAGATGCTCAATGCAGGAGTGCCCTCTGGTGGTCAGTGTGCTCCCACAAAGGGAACAGTGCTCAGCCAGAAGCCAGACGCATGGCTGGCAAGTGTAGCAGTGGTGACAGGAGCCTCTCCCGCCTCCCTGGCAGCACTAAGGATGTCCGACTGACTGCGAGAGGGTGCAGACCAGGCTGAGGGACACCTCCCCCCTACCCGCCCCTCCCCACCCAAGTACACGAATTTCTTGCACTGGGCCTCTAGTTCTACAATAAAAGAGACTCACATAACAGATTGAATTCTGAAATGAGATACTAGAAGAGAATAGAGTGATTCATCATAGGGAACACACCACACTTTGCTGTATCTTTCCTTTTGTGTCCCTCCCTCTCATATTTATGAAAATCTGAGCAGTGCAAACTTAATTTCTGATACATGTTCCTATCACTGGACCAGAAATACTGCTGAGTCTGGCTTGTGCAAAATGATTTTAATTACTTACTGGACAAAATTAGATGGGTTATTTTTAAAAACCCTTGTAAGGTTTTCTAACTGCAAAAGATTATTTACCTGCACTTCATCAGCTTAATGTTTATGTTAGCAAAACTGCCACCCAGTGGCTAAAACACAGATGCATGTAAGAAGGGGCTGCTATCAGCTGTGGGCAAGCACTATCAGGCATTTTTAAATTCTATACCCACAACTTTGTCATAAAATTTATTTGCTTAAGGGGTGTTTTGACCACCAGTATGTGTAAAACCAACTGAGACATCTCTGAACCCAGACGCCTGTTAATGTTCCAGACAGACCAACTTCCCTTCCCAAATGGTCATCAGGAGTCCACAGTGTATTCCTGAGTCACTTGCACAAAAAGCCTGAAGCACTAAAAACAAAAAATGATACTCAATAATCACATAAACACCTGAGGTTCTCTGTTAGCTAAATGACACACGACTTGGCAGCTATTAAATAGGCCAGCCCTATTGTGAAACCATCATAAGCCATTAAGACAAAAAAAAAAAAAAAGTTTGTATTAATTTATTAATTATAAAATAAAAATGAGACTGGGTGGTGAGAAAGAGAAAAGGAAGAAAACCTGATCTTTCTAGAAACCCCAAGAAGAAACCTGCCTTCTTGGACACCTACCTCAACCTGGTAGCTCTCTCACTATGTGGGTATACCTGTTAAGATGAGAATTATGATCACAGCAAAGATGTCTGGGTTTGTGGCCAGCACTCCAGGGGCATTCAGAGTCATGTGTGTCCGAGAGAACTCCCCAATGGGTTTGCCAATCAGCTCATCAAATGTTGCACTCCAGGCTCTTGCCACACTTGAAGTACCTGTCACAAAACAACACACATCAGAGGAACGTGAAAGAAAGCAATTAACAAAGTATTTGTCATTAAGTGTATGTTTATGCATCCATACGGATCTCAGATGGCACATGGGATTCTGCAGCAAGCAGACCTCAGCATGAGCATGCATACTCAGAAGAGGGTCAAGCAGGGTTCACAGTGAAGTGAAAAATTCAAGGAATCTTCTAGGGCCTAGGGGAAAAAAGCATTTTCCACCGATGCGCTCTCTGCACCCTAGCCACAAGGAACACAAATGTTCTCTCCCTGGACCCCAGCCACGAGGAACACAAATGGAGACAGCACTCCCAATGCCAACAACAGCTGACTGTGTGCTCTCCCTCTCCCTCTCTCTCAATGTGAATAAAGTTCCTGCTGTTCCTCAGGAAATGTCGCTAAAATTTCAATAGTCACATGTAGCAGGTTCCTTTACTTTTTCAAAGGGGGCCTTACAGGTGATTTTGGTCTGGATCACACCTAAGAATTTGGCAGGGTGATCTGCAGACTCAATTTTGCTATTTGGTTTTATGGTAAGTAGTTTCCCAACAACTCAAAAATTAAGCCACATTTCTTTGTGTTGAGCAGCTCGCCTATTATGAAATCTGTCCATCAAGGCCACAACTCAGTGAGGAAACATGGTCTCCCATCTCCCCCAGAGGCCAGCTCATTGCTTATGGGGCTCCTGAACCTCACCCTGATGGCTGAGGGGCTGTTTGGCCTCCTCCACCCACCCCCAGCTCTGAGTCAAGGCTTTCAAACCTTGTTGACTGGAAAAACTGCCCTCGCCAGCAGCTAAGGGTGAGCAGTTCCTAGAGTGACACGTGATACATGCATGGCCCCACACAAGCCAATGGCACTCTGGCAAAGCAGCATCATCTGTACTCTAGAAGTATCAGGCCTCACGCGCTTTCCTGTGTCATGCCCTGGAAAATCTTCTGGAAAACAACAGCCCATCTAAAATAGCTGCATTTCCCCCGAGAGACCTCAGCTTGTGTGAGCATTTGCACTGACAAGTTTCATTGTTATGAATTTTATTTTGGAAGTTGGAAGAGTAAGCCAAGTTGGTTTTGAGCAGACAGAACAGTACCACACACAGTATTCCCAGGACTCATAGGCTCAACTTACCACATCTTACTGTCTTTTGATAATATTACAAAAAAAGCTTGATGAAACATAAATGGAATGTTTAATGGCTATTTGTATTTCTACTTTTGTGAACTGGCCATGCAAATCCTTTGGTTATTCTTTTATTCAGGTGTTTGTTTCAATACAATGGTATACAACCATAGAAATGTTACTATGGAAAAACAGTTAACACTGTGAGGAATATTTACTATTGTTCTATACATAAAGAGAGATACTGTGCCAATAATATGCATTTAAGTTCACAAAAATATGAACAATGGTTAAATCCCTAGAGAGTAAATTCTCATGCACAGAGACTATCTTTTTCCTTCATGACATCCCTAGTATCTAGCAAAATGCCTTGCACAGAGCAAGTGCTCAATAAATATTTGTTGAGAGAATGAATGAATGAATGAATGAGAGAATTACTATCTAACAGTTCTCAGACTGGGTAATTTCTACTTTCTTCATGCTTTTCTACATTCCCCCACCTTTCTATGTCCATGATGACTTTACTGTAGTAGTCAAAAAAAGATCACTAAAAGAGACTAAATCCTTTTTAACTAATTAGAAACATCCCATGGTTCTATGTCTCCCAGGTGAACAGGAACGACCTCCTTATTGGCCTGGTTTGTCCCCTCTACACCCCAACACACGACCATGAGCACCAAGAGCAGCTGGAGGGTCAGTGGTGCCTCTGCCTTCCATAAAGAGAAAAAAAGAGGGTGGATAATGGTCAGGCAAGGAGGGTATCCTCAGAAGCTAGACTTGGTCTATTTGGAGCAAAGTAGGGAAGTGGGAATGACAGAAGTTGATGACTCACCAATGATGTAGGAAAGGATGAGGTTCCACCCCGTGATGAAGGCCCAGAGCTCCCCGACGGTGACGTAGCTATAGAGGTATGCCGAGCCGGTCTTGGGGACACGAGCACCGAACTCGCCGTAACAAAGGCCAGCCAGCACGGAGGCCAGCGCCGCGATCAGGAAGGAGATGACAATGGCAGGGCCAGAGTTCTCACGGGCCACAGCTCCAGCCAGGACGTACACGCCGGCTCCCAGTGTGCTGCCCACCCCCAGTGCCACCAGGTCAAAGGTGTTCAGGCAGCGGGACAGCCGGCTGTCCTCGCGGCTGCAGTCCACTACCTTCCGCCTCAGCATCTGCTGACCAAGGCTGAACAGCACCTTGCATCCCATTCTGCTGATTAAATCTGCAAAGAGAAAGAACAGGGTGTTTCACCGCTGCCACTCCTTTCACCCCCTCTAATTGCAACACGGACAGTGACCATGCCCCTTATTATGATTTATGGCTAAAATGTTTTCAGTCTCAGAATTCCCCAATCAGAATACCACCTAGGCCCTCCTGCCTGAGGGCTGGCGTGGCAGCTGACTGTACCACACTTTGCTCTCTGAGCACCCACAGTTCTTTTAGTTCATAGGAGAAACCCTGTGCAGGCAGAAACTACAGAGCACAGAAAACTCACATGGCAGAACTGAACCAAAAGTGTGAGGTGAGGAGAGGAGGCTAAAACTACAACAACAACAACAATAATAATAATAATAATAATAATAATAAATTAAATAAATAAATAAATAAATGGTCCAGACTTAGACCTGAAGCAGGGATCTGCTCACACCCCCATGTCCTCACTGGGCAGCAGGAGTCCATCTGCCTTGAGGGAAATGTGATGTGGGAACTTGGGCTCTTTAAAAGCCCCCTAGGGTCTGTATTTGTCTGAACCCAAGCAGCAAGGGGCAAATTCGCTCATCTCACACCTGTGCTTGACACAGCCAGTGTTTAAGGAACTGGAACCCACAGTGTTTAAGGAACTGGAAGCAGTGTCAGGGCGGGGAGGCTGAAGGGTGATGGGGCTCCATGGGGCAAGGAAAAGGTTTGACTGTCGCAAAGGCTACTACTTTCATAGGAAAACAGTCAATTTCAGGACAGAGGCAGAAAGTCTGAAAATCCACCTGGGGACATCTCTGCATCTAGTCAAAAGCCTCAGTTATCCTGACACATAATGTTTTTCTACAGAGCTGTGCCTCTCAGCCCTGACCCTGCTTCTGGGGATAAGACTGTGGGTTACATTTCCTTAAACACTGGCTGTGACAAGCACAGGTATGAGATGAGTGAATTTGCCCTTTGCTGCTTGGGTTCAGACAATTGTAGACCCTGGGCAGCTTTGAAAGAATCCAGGTTCCCACAACACATTTCTCCCGAGGCAGACGGACTCCTATTGTTCAGTGAGGATATGGGGGTGCAAGCAGGGCCCTGCTTAACCTGGTAACTCTGCACCTTTGCATCTGACATTTACAAGGTTGCAACAGCCTCAAAAATAAGGTGCTTACTTATAGCTGAAAACCCCCAGGAACTAGGAACTGTGGGATCCCCTCCTTTCTTCCACTGCAGGCAGCTGCTTAGAGATGCTGATGTGTGGCAAAGGGCACTGGCTAGATCCCCCCCAAAGTTCCTCTGATGAAAGGCCCTGTGGGCTGCTGATCCCTGATTACGTGAGCATTCTTAATATAGCTACACACTTGAGAAGAAGGCTAAGAATGGCTCCCAAGGAATGTAAGAATGTGAGAGCAGCATAAAAATCAGGTGACATTCTTTATACATACACACACACCTAAAAAACAACCTCCACTTTTTTGTGGTAAATAAAATAATGACAATGATGAAGTCCCTGTGGTAAATCATTTTTCTTAATCGAAGAATAACTGAAAAAAGAGCTTCCAAATATTTTTTAAACCTCACTTGAGGATATTTTTCCACTGATTTTTAGGGAGAGTAGAAGAAAGAGAAAGGCAGACAGAAACATCGACGTGAGAAAAACACATCGCTTGGTTGCCTCCTGTACAAGCCCGACCAGGGCCCCGGCCAGGGAGGAGCCTACAACTGAAGTACGTGTCCTTGACTGGAATCAAACCCGAGACCCTTCAGTCTGTAGGCCGACGCTCTATCCACTGAGCCAAACCGGCTAAGGCTTTCAAATATTTTAATAGAAAAATGTTTTCCCCTCACTGCATCCTATGCCAAAACCAAATACAAGAGTCAGATAAAACAAGAGCAATTCTAATTTAAAGAGCAATGGTATGCCAAGACCCACTAGCTAGTCTTGACCTCCCCAACCCCACCCCCTCCTCCTGGCTCCAATGCCCCCTCAGGACTCTAAGAACCCAAGGACCTGCGTGAAACACACTGATCTACAGCAGATATTTATGGCACCTAAACCCCAGAACAAGCTGCAAAAGAATTCTTAAGTAAAGGAGTGGAAAATAGAAGAGGCAGAGAAATAGGAGCAAGAGTAAAAGTTTAGGAGCAAAAAAGAAACTGGAGCCGACCTGTTACCTTGAGAACTGCAGTCCTCCAGACAGAAACACAGCCCAATGTGTCATTAGCACACTGTGCACACCATCATGGAGTGGCCAGCAGCCATCGCACGGGGCATAGGCCCTCCACATGCTGCTAACCACGAGGCACTAGCCATCTGCACAGGAGCACACCCTGTGGATGAGGCCTTTGCGCAGAGGCCTTACCATCTGTAGGTATTAAGAATTCTGTTTGCCCTGGCCAGTGTTAAACAGTGGGTGAGCATCGATCCATGAACCAGGAAGTCACAGTTCAATTTACCGTCAGGGAACATGCCCAGGTTTTGGGCTCCATCCTGGGTAGGGGACATGCTGGAAGCAGCTGATCAATGTCTCCCTCATCATTGATGTCTCTCTCTCTCCCTCCCCCTTCCTCTCTAAAGAAAAATATCAATATTTTTAAATCTCTTTTTTTAAAAATCGAGTTCTGTTTAAAAGAAATGTAGAAATTTAAGAAACCCACCACTGTGAAAAGGCAAGCTTGTTTTCTGATGAGATGGAAGTACTAGGTGATCTTGAAAAAGCACAGTAGCTCTAAATTTTAAAAGAACAACAACGGAGGGTTTTAGTTTTCAGTTCACTTCAAAAGTCAACAACTGCCAAAACCGGTTTGGCTCAGTGGATAGAGCGTCAACCTGCGGACTGAAAGGTCCCAGGTTTGATTCCGGTCAGGGATATATGTACCTTGGTTGCAGGCACATCCCCGGTGGGGGATGTGCAGGAGGCAGCTGGTCGATGTTCCTCTCTCATTGATGTTTCTAACTCTCTATCCCTCTCCCTTCCTCTCTATAAAAGATCAATAAAATATATTTTTTAAAAATAAATAAATAAAAATAAAAAGTCAACAACCGATTAAAGGTCTAAGTTAACACATTCTAGCACATAAGTGACGACCATCCTGCCGGGGTGCTGATGGGCAGACTATACCTGGAATATGATTCGAGGACTTGTCACCTTGCCACCCTGGGTCTTGGAGTAAGGCTGTCTCAGTAGGGATGATCCGGGGGCTTCAGGCTCCTGAGAGACAAAGAAGAGACATTAGACATAATCTTTTTGGCCCCAGAATCTCCATGCCTGTGGCTGTTACAAGAATGATCCCATTTGGCTCAGTAACAGGAAGGACTCCCAGCTGTAACACAAACTGAAGATCAGATGAAAGTGGGGAGGCAAGGGTCACACCACAGGGCGCAGGCAGACACAGGGTGAAACACCACCAGGCAGTGGCATCAGTGGGGGAATTCAGAAGACAGGAAACTGATAAGATGGCCTTGAACCCAGGCATGCTACCACATCTCACCTCTATAAATGGAAGATCATATTTTGAACTAGAGACCCGGTGCACGAATTCATGCACCAGTGGTGTCTCTTGGCGTGGCCTGTGGGGATTGGGCCAAAACCGGCAGTCCAATGCTACCTACTTCTCCTGCCTGCCGCTCCCACTCACCCCAGCCCCGGTGCATTGGCCACAGGCTTGCGTCCAGTCAGTCCTGATTGGGAGAGGCTGCAGCAGCACTAGCCAGCCATAAGCCCTGCATCTGGCACCTGTTGATCAGCTAAGTGGTGCTCCCACTGTGGGAGTGCACTTACCACCAGGGAGCAGCTCCTGTGTTAAGCGTTAGCCTCCTGGTGGTCAGTGCACGTCATAGTGACCAGTCGTTTGGTTGTTCAGTCACCTAGACTTTTACATCTATCTATGTAAACCCTAATATGCAAATTGACTGAAAAGCAAAATGACCAGTCACTATGATGTGCACTGACCACCAGAGAGCAGACGCTTAGGAGCTGCCCTCAGCCCGCAGGCCCTGACCAGCGGTGGTGGTGGCGGCGGTTCTATCGAGTAGATGACACCAGGCCAACCAAGACAGGTGAGAGTGGGGAACCCCCCCCCCCAATCGTCCCACTGGTCACCATTAGAGAGAGGTAACCAGCAGTAGTGACAGGGGGTGTGGCCAACGAGTGGGCAGCGCCAGGCCAAGGTGGATGGGAGTGGGAGCCCGACATCTGCCAGTTACCCCACAGATGGGCCCTGATCGCTGGCCAGGCCTAGGGACCCTACTTGTGCATGAATTTCATGCACTGGGCCTCTATAACAGCATCCTCCACACAGACTATTTCCACAAATCCAGGGTATTGCTAGGGACCACAAAGGGGAGTGAACCCTTTCTTGACACTGGCAATGAAAACCAAGGTCAGTGGAGGCAGAAAACCTTAGATGATTCCCTCAGAAAATAAGTCACTCCATTCTGTATAATCAACCATTTCATGAGGGAGCTCTCTTTTACTGGTTGACACATGAGCACCGAGCAGACACCCAGACAGGCCACAGACTGTTCTAAAAGTAGTATGTGCACCACTGACGTGCCTGGTGGAGTGGCCTGCAATCCCAGAAGGAATGGGGTCTGTGAGTGGAGGTGCCACTGTCTGAATGCATTGAAGTCAGACTTCCCTGAGGGCATGTTAGGAAGAACCTTCAGGAAGAGTGGCACAGAAAGTCTTCTGCTTTCTCAATCTCATCATTTCTATTTTGCACATACACACTCAGGAGCTGCAGAGGTTTCACTAGGCTTCCTGAAGATGACTTGCACCAAATGTGAACCCAAAGAGGATTATCACTATGCCAAAATGCAATGAAGACTCAATCAACAGCTAGTTTTAACACTTCACCAGCAGTGAGCCAGCTTCCCAGCAATCCCAACCGACACATTCATGCAATTCATTCCACGTTAAAATTTCATTCTTTCCCATTTTTTATTTTGAAAAGGTCCAACCCTATAGAAAAGTTAAAAGAACATTTATATACTCTCCATCTGGATTTACCAATATTT